TTAGCTGACTGATGTTGGTCGCATGACTCGCATCATGAAAAAAGAATAACAAAGAACCCCAGTGGAAATTATCTCTTAATTCTCAGCTTTCTTGGATTATGCTGGATTAATAATCTCTGGGAATAAAAATCCGAAGAGTCGTTATTTATATATTAAGAATAGCAGCACGAGAGAGCACGTAAGTCCAACTCTGTATAGCTTACTGATAAAAAAATTATAAACGTGTTACACTTTAGTAAGTAAGTAAGTAAGTTTATTCAGGTATACACAAATACAGTTACATAGAATTATCATACATAGCAGCATATGTGTAGAGAACCTAGGATAACTCAAAAAAGTCTTTTACGTTATCGATGTTTCTAGTTTAGGTCTCTTGGTTCACGAGAATTATGACTGCGCAAATGTTTAATAAATTTTAGACGTCTTTCATTCCACAAAATTAAACATATCAAATGGTATACAATACCGACAGGTTGGTAGATAAGACACATAGGCAACATTTAGGCAACTTTATAAAGTTGCCTATGTGTCATATCTACCAAAATTAAACATACCTGATGCTAGGATAAACTGCAAGAAACTATGCTGTAATAGTTTTTAAGTTCGTAATGAACAATATTAATAATAAAAGGTATTTCACGAAGATATATGTAGTATCAGTTTCCTTGCTAATGAGATGGTGAACTATGCTTTTTGAAACTTATAATTTATAATTACAATTATGGGGAGCGCTAAACCTGTAGGAGTATAACAGCGCATGTGGGGGTGGAAGGTATTCAGGCTCAATTCAGGGAACCGGAGCACAGATCCAATTCCCTAGATTTCAAGCTGATAAAAGTTAGAAAATTCGTGTCTTATTGATATTATGGGGCCCCCATAGTCATAACATTTTACTATTCTTGAACTGGATTGGGTCAAATACAACTCAACGCAGCATCACATACAAACTTGGGACACCAGTGACAAAACTTCTAGTAACAAACACTGCACAGAGAAGGGAACATATAGTCTCACTTTTAGATCTCTACAGCCAAGAGGTATTATCAAAGGAACGTTAAGCTGGTCAAACATGAAGACCAGTAAACAAATGCTGATGAGTATACCATTCAGTTTCCTTTTTATATCCAGTTCTGCAGCCTCATCCTTATTAAAAAGTCAGATGTCCTCACACTGTTGTTCAGTCAACTAGTTCATCTCGATACCACGATGCTGCAAGCGTTATCTGTAGAGCTGGCTGATAGGCTAAATTCCTACGCTATGGTTTGGGATGGAAAGTAAAAAGATCCTTTAAAGTCTATGTAGAGGTTGCCACCCAATACAGAGCTACTGAACACGGCGAGTTTGTGGTTTGTAAATATAATATATCTGCTACAAAAGACAAGATCCACTGCACGATCTAAAATTCACACTAGAAGAGCGGAGAGAGGTAACAAAATCACAATCTAGAGATTACTCGAAGGAATAAACAAAGCAGATAGAAACTGCTAAGCATGAACGGAACCAGAGTAAAGGGACATAGTTAGAAACTAAACTCAGAAGATTAATTTTTTGGATATTTTGATCCTCTTCTGGGGTTCTTTTCAGCAGATCGATATACAGTACACAGACCAAATAATCGTTTGAGTTTTGTCTGTATGTGGGTTTTTACTGAGCACTGACAAGTAAGTATGCAAGTTTATTCGCGTATTCATAAATACAGTTACAAAGATTTATTATACATAGCAGCATATGCGTAGAGAACCTAAGACAACCCAAAAAAGTCAGTGACTTATTTCCACTGAGGTCCTTACACTTTAGTTATCCATCAAGTTGGCGCCTAGAGACGTTACAAAATACATATTCATCATCAGAAAGAGAATTGGACCAGACTAGAGACTTAGAAGACAAAAGTGTAGGACTCTTTATAAAGATACGAGAAATCCAGATAAAGAGTCGACTGAAAGTTAAGAGGTGAGCCTAAGAGCTATAGCTGGAATGTTGAAAAAAGACACAAGTACAGAGAATAAGCCTTTATTTACACAATGTTTCGCTCAAGGTTGACTTAACCAAGTTGTGATGACTTGTCTGTGTTAAGTCCTTTAAACCAGTCGAAGATAGAAAGTAGTATATTATAACAAGTAATTGCACGGACACGAAGGAAATCTGTTCATAAAGCGATATTTGTCAAACATTGTTTGAAAAATAAACGAGAAGTTTCCAGTCCCTTTTCACTCCGTGTAATGCTAGGATTGTGAATTTAACTTCCCAGGTCTGAACTTATGGATTTCTTATTGACATGTGATCTATCTGTGCCACAACTCTACACACTTCCCACGTGACGATATCAGTTGGCAAGACAATAATAAGCATAACCATAAAGAACAAAAAGGCACAATACCGTGACTGGAACAATACACAAATAACCTTTAGACTTACTCCGCTTCTACTTTTACTACTACTACTCCAATACTAATACTATTGCCTCGCTTCACTTCCCTTTCTGTCTCTCGTGCCACTACCACTACTCTCCTACTTACTAGTACCATTGCTACTATTACTACTTCCACTACCAGCATTATTTCTACCACTACTTCTTCACTTCCTCTATTTGTCACGTCCCTGTCATCCTCTCCTATATATACACTTGCTCCCTCCCATTCGTGTGTTAGTGTGACTTGTAAATGGTCCAAATCGGACCGAAACGTCGTCATAAGCTTCTCTCTGCTATTTGCGGGTTATCTGGGTATAAACATAACCGATACACCAACATGGATACATTGTATAGAGGATTGTTTTTTCTTTTTTTTTGGGGGGAGGGGACAAGTAATAAATAGTTATCCACACACTACGAACCCTCATAATGCCTCACATAACAATAACAACAAACGTTATAACACGCCTTAACGCAGAGTCGTGATGGCTCAGGTGTGTGGGTTTAACATCTGGGCAGAACAATCCAGTTGTCTGATGTTGTACATGTCTCTCCCGGCACCTGGCGCCCCGAGGCACCCACGTCAACACTCTCCACTATGTTGCTCGTTCTTGCACTTTCTGACTTATAAACATTTTCCTAATTCTGCAAAAAACGAAACATACTGCGTCATGTTAGGTAGAGCGTCAGTTTAGCTCTTATCAGGAGAGACGTTTCATATAAATAAAAAAGATTAACATTAAAAGTATTTAACTATTCTTTTACTAAATATAGAGGCAAAGACTGAATGACATACAGCTACACGTGCACACACACACGCAGGTATGTACGGGCGCGTGCACACATGCACAATCACATAGCGCACACACGTGCACACAATAACACAGAAACAGGATATGTACACACATCTGCAGTACTATTATTAGTCTGGCTGAGAACGACAATAAACTAACGCAGCTTTTCATTAACAATCTTTAATGCTTTATAATGCTTATGTCTCATTATAATCATTTCAAAGCATTATCATTATAAATGCCGAATGAAAACTGTTTATAGTAAATGTAAAGCGTTTAGCTTCAATTTCTACAAGATTTTCCTGCTTTGGCTGTAACTCAACAGTGAAGACAACATGCGTATTCTAGACTGTGTTGCTTGAAGAGTGGGAGAACACGTGTGAAGGTCTGTGAAGGGTGGAGCAAATGTGAAGGTCAGTGTTGTGTAGCACGTTTGACCGTTTGTGAAAGGTGGAGGAGCAACTGTGAAGGTCAGTCAAGTGCTGAAGCACGTGTGACGCCAGTAAAGGATGCAGGAACACGGGAAATAACCTCTTTATACGTGTGAATGACCACTACCCTTGGTGGAGTGTAGGCGCCTCTCTCACTGCACTCTGAACGTTTCCTCTTGATGTTCAGCTACCGATTACCAAACGTAGCGGTCTGTTTTTTGTAGTTAAATACTTTGTTGAAGATTTATCTAACATCCCCTAACATTAATTAAAAAAACATTATTTGAAAATTGACAGGGAACTTTCATAAATTGAGGACGGGGCTTACATAGAAAACGAACAAAACATCGGGGGCATATTTTCCCTATAAATTAGAGGACTTCCTCCTTGCCTACTAAGCTCCCTCATTACCACGCTAAAAACCAGTTCGCGTTTTCCGCGTCTTGTTTTCTACAGTATTTTAAAAGGTAAGTCAGTGTCTGACCACGGTGGGATGTGTTGTTTCACTCTGTCCTGGTGTTCAGCAGCGTGATCCACCCTTGGAAAAACTGTCATGTTATATATATATATATATATATATATATATATATATATATATATATATATATATATATATATATATATATATATATATATAATATCGAGGGAATATTTCAGTCCCGAACACAAGGACGGTTCATTACAGCTTAAGTTGCAAAAAGATGCAGGTACAAAGCAAGATTTATTGGAACACCTCGCTGTGTGGATTATTATTATAATCAAGGGGGAAGCGCTAAACCCGGAGGATTATACAGCGCCTGGGGGGGGATGTGGAAGGCATTCAGGCTTAATTCGGGGAACTGGAGCACAGATCCAATTCCCTAAATCAAGAGCCCCTCACCAACATCAAGGAACCTTCCTTGAGGGGATCGCTGTGTGGAACGAAAATCATTATCGTGGCATTTGCGTGACAACAACAACAACAACAGTGTTGCAAGTCTTTTATTGATGATGTGCCGACAGTCACTAACATTGCATTGTTAAAAATCTATTGTTGTGTATGTGGGGGAGCTTTAAAAATGAATCATGGAACTAATGTACAGTTCATCAGACGCATGTTGTACGTACACAAATGCTTCAAGCATTTTGAAAAAAAAAAAAAAAAAAAACATAAAAGTGCAGTGTTTTTTAAGCTAAATGTTCCATATACAGTGTTCTGTCAGGTGCATCACACACTAAGAGCAGTGGAAATACGAAATGACAACATTAATTAATTAAGGCTTCTCCAATGTTTTTCTGATCTTATAAGTTTAGTATCCAGGAAAAGTAATCATCTGTCGTCAAGTGCTGTGTGTCTGTCTAGGCGATGAGTTAACCTCAGATGAATGGTTAAACCTACATAAAAATGAATAGTATATTTCAAGTGCCCTATATGCATTAACAAATTAGTTCAACTTTTAGTTCACACCTAACAAGAACACCGTGCCCCAGGCTGCGTGCATGAGGTGTACAATATCGAGAGATGCCACCCAGGAGGATAAAACAAGCTATATTCCTAGTCGCGTCAGTTTCCTTCTACCTCACTACCATCAAGCTGGCGGTAAGGAGGTTTGAGAAGGAACATACCCAGAGGCACTCCAGCGATGACGTTACCAAGTATATTAAAGGTGAGTGAGTAGATCTCACGGTCATGAACAGGCAGATTAGATTTGGTGCCGAGGGAAGAGTTTATTAGTGCCATTCATCCAATGAGTAATGGTAACAACATGAAGAGAATGAATTTCAGCCTAAATAGTTGATACGTGATTGGTGAATTAACTCAATCTTTTTTCTTACTGAAAAGGAAAGCTCAGCAGCTCTCAGTCCCTTGTTCCTGCCTTTTTTTCTTATAACCGTCTAGCACTGTTTATGTATGAGATTCCTATTTTAAAGCTACGTGTGAAGTTTACTTCGAAATCATTCAGTGCCATTTTTACCATCTTTACATACTATATACTACTTATCTGGCTCATCTGGATGTTCAGCTTGCAGATATAACCTCACTTGCTTTTATCTACCATATTGCTTACACTTCTAAATATTTTTGTATGTCCAGATTATAGTTTCTCCGATTCTTCATTATACCTGTGATATGGGATTTAGTTCCTTCGGTCTTTTCTCGCAGTTCATGGAAATACATCTCTCATTTTTCCCTAGTTCAATGCCTATTAAGTTTACGATCTCCTGTCCAACATATATTCTTTGAATCACTGAACCACTTTATATTGTCATCCTTGTTTGTGCTTCCAATTCGTGGCTTAAGCCTTGGGTAGCGTACTGCATTAAAACTTTCCCAATGCTAATGAATATCATCTGCCTTTATCTTCATACTTTTCTATTTTAATTTCGTAATCAAGGTGTATGAATATTTCAAACATAAAGATGTCATTAAAATCAATAGTACGCGATTTATATCTCGGTTACCACCACAGTGAAAAGCCAGCACAGCCATGTACGAGAGGTCACGCTATCATACAGCACCAGCAGGAAGTTACAAACTCAGCAACAAGATTCATCACAGGACACATTTGGTCACCTGATCGTGGAGGCTGCGCTCTCCTCGTCAGGAATCACACTCTGGCTCAACGGAAAACAGGTAAACTCTGCGTGTATATAATAAAACAAAATTTTTAACTTGTGAACTCAGGTAGGATTACAGCACATAGCATGTAAATCAAGTGAGGTGGGATAGCACCTCTTACCATATAAATAAGCTGAGGTAGGTTAACAGCTCTTAACCTGTAAATTCAATGGTATTTAAAACAAAAGACTTATTGATTCTTTTACCATTGCTGCTGCTAACACATCATTTTGATTTCGTTGTCCCAAAAATATTCCAAATTCCAAGTTTCTTCTTTAGTTTTTCTCTCGCAATTTTTGCGCATGTTTTTACTAACGTATTAGTCATGATGACGGCTTTGTGGGGACTTGAGGTAGAGTTCGTCATGGCCACGCTGGCGGGATATTCCTCTGTAAAAACTTGCATTTGTGGTCACAGTGGTGCCTATGCTAACCTTCCTATGGTGTATAAATATACCTAGTTGGATCAATCTTATTGTAGCCAGCTGGCCCAGTGGCTAACACGTCGGTCTGAAGTTTTATGACTCTGATCACGGGTTCTATCCCCCACCCGTAGTATGGTTTGTTTGCATTCGTGTCATTACGGTTTCCTGAGTCAGTTACAATCAGAATATCTTGACATTTATGGTAACAGGATCTTCAGTTACCACTGAAAAAGATAGGGCAGAGGATACAGAGCCAACTCATTACTAAAACATTTCATTACCACTCAATCCGAGTGGTACGGTCAGCTTGAGTGATAGTCTCTCTCTATCCTACTGTAGTTTCCCTCCATCCTACTGTAGTTTCCTTCCATCCTACTGTAGTCTCTCTCTCATATTTTTAGTCCCATAAAATTTGCTTCATATCTACATAACCTTAAGGTGTACATACAATTATGGTCTCTCACTGTACAGAAATGCAAGTACCCACAATGTTTGTGTGGATAAAAAAACTATATAATCTATCAAAGGTGTATTGTCACAAGAAATTCTTATTCAGGTATACAAACTTGTCAACAAAACCCTTGAGCAAGGGAAGAATCTTCGGCTCCATGCTGGAGTGCATATGATGACCCTGCACCAGAGGTCAGGTAAAGTGATGAGGGCCACCACCTATCTCACCTGGCAGCCAGAAAACAGCAGGCAGCTAAGCCAAGCCATCACAGACGCCACGGATGGCAGGCTTCTCCTCTTTCTCGCCACGGTGACGACCAATCTCATTTTGCATTATGTTATAAAAAATGCCACAAGGAGCTCGACTCGTGTACAGAAGAGTACTACCTGAAAAAACTCATCTGAATCCTCTTCTCTCTGTTTTCAAAGTCTTGCTCCCTGTTGTAAACCTTTTTCTCGATCTAAACCCTACCCCACCCTGTTCTTCGTGGGAAGAATGAAGTGTGATTCATTATTAATATAATTATTGTAAAACAGAATGTAGATTTTATTGCAATTTAAAGAAGATAATATTATTTGCCTTCTTATTTAATTTTAAGGATATGTTCAATAAAATGAACTCTAATGACAAGATATCTGGCGCTGACCATTTCTCAATCGTCTCTCCCCAATGACTGTGTGGCAGCCGGAGTTCACGATGTACCTGGGGCAGGAGACAGTGGAGCTCCTCGTGTCCCTAGGCTCACACTTCGCCGACCATCTGGGAAGGGGTGAATCCTGGTGCCTGCTGGCTCAGAAAGGTGTCGGTGTCTTGCATGAGAGCCTCACCACAGTCTACCCCAGTCTAGGGGACACCACCAACGATGCTGCCCCTACCTGTCTCCATCTTATAGTTCCACTCACACATGGTGCTTAACTGTGCCCATTAGCAGTTCTGTTTGTTGTTGAAGTTATAGTTCTGCACTCATGTAAACGTCAGATCATTGCTAATGCTAATAATTATTATCATTAGCTTTTAAATGCAGCCAACATGTTAAATGTAAGTCTGAAGCATTACACATTCTGAATGCTAGCTAACACTATTTTCTCAGAGCGGCGGTGTGGCTGGTACAGTGCTGCAGGTATGAAGGAGAGGGCCACCTTCTGTGAAACTTACGACGGCTATGGTGACTTCTGTAAATGTGATGATCCGCCTTGGTCACCTTACCCCCAAAGAAAAGTAAGTTATTATTAGCCTTAGTGTCGCTTCCTGTCTCTACACTGTATGGTAGCTGTTGTCGGTTTTACAGACAGGCGCATGCTGGTAGGTGACCTAACAGGTTCATATCATGGTTACATGGAAATAAATAATGTGTACCTTCATAAAAGGTGCTCATCTTGTTTTTGTCGATCTTTGAACACACAGTAGTTCATACACCCAGTGATTAGGTTATTACCTTTTAGTAAATACGAAATATCCCTTTCATCTTGTGCCGTATCTTGCATCAGGTGGAGTACAAGATGCAGGAAGCGATTCCTGTTGCCATAGTAACAGCTCGCCGGCTGCCCTACGTCCTGCGTCAGGTGGGGCAGGTGTGGGCCAGCCCAGGCGGTACCAACACACCCATCACCATCTTTGTTGATGGTTACAACCCCGAGGCTCAAGCCCTGGCAGCCCTCCTCCAGGTGCCAGTGATCCATCACTATAATCCAGCCCCCAGCCGTGAGTAACCGTATATTTGTGGCTTATAACCTTGTTAGGCATTTTTGTTTTTAGTGCCACTGTCTTCTCTATATTAACGTATTTTTTGTAATGTTATTTTTTACTCCTCTCACCTATCGTTCCCCATACTTGTGTCCATCACGGACTTGTTGCTCTTTCACTAAGTAAAGGAAACGTTCCACAGGATCCTCGGCCAGGATCAACGAACATATCAAATTCGCTCTGAGGGAGGTTTTCAAGAGCTACCCGACAGCCAACCTCTCCATCATCCTTGAAGATGATCTCCAGCTTGCTCCAGACTTTATTCCGTATGTATCACTTACACTTAGCTAGTGAAAGTCTTAAGTGCTCTATATACTTTGCTAGTAAAAACCATAGTCATGATGAAACTATAATAATAATGGCCAAATTAGTATTAACATTATAAATTATAAATTTGCATCCACATAAAACAGTAACTAAGTATCAAACGTAATAATTTTCGTTGAAACCCAATCTTCCTTCCCACTCTCTCCGCACACACAAATACACAAAATCGCACTAGTTGTTCTTGTAAACGGACGTCAGCGATAATAGGTTAGAGAAAGGACGTATCTATCTGTTTACAATGAAGGGAATGGAGTGATATATATAACTGGTGTCCTAAAATATGCACAGAAAACTTTATACGGAAAATTACTGGAGTAAGGGAAAGTTATATGCATTTCAAGATAAATTTTAAAACATTATTAGCCCTTTGTTGATAATGTGGATGGAGGCATTAGATCAACACACAACAAACAGCTGATAGTAATGTCAAAATCATTACGAACTGACATAGAAGAGCAGGTGTTAATGGTTAAGGAGATTGTCAGAATAAATATTAGTTTTGAAATCAAAATAAAGAGAATAAAGAATTCCAAACTACTAATGGAAGACTTGTTGACATATAAAAAAAAACTGTTACTGTTTTTGGCTGTGCAGAAAAGAAAATAACATTAAAAAGAATAAGAATAAAGGAAGAACAACACATCTGAGGTTCATCTTTATCGTTTTCATTCTAGCTATTTCCACCAAACGGCTCCGCTGCTGAAGTCAGACCCATATTTGATATTCGTGAACGCATACAATTACAACTCCTTCGCCCACACCGCCCACGACGGCCGCAGGCTGTACCGTGCCCATGGCATCCCTGGCTACGGTTGGATGACCACTCGCCTGGACGCGGAGGACATGTTAGCGAACTGGGTCCCTATCAACCAGGTGAGCCACTAACCTAGGTGAACCCTACCCCAGGTAAACTTCTTCCCCCGGGGTGAGTACCCCTGATCCAGAACCCGTTACCCCTCAGATAAACATTCCCCCTCTTCCCCGAGGGGAAACACTCAATTTGCAATCAGCCGCAGTTGTAGAAGTTGAGAAGATGAAATATGAAATCAGGATGATTAGGTAATTTAATCCGGCAGTGTCGTAATCAAGAAGAATTAATAATTTTTTGAGAAAATTAGTGGTTGTCAGAATTATTTTTTTCTTCCGCAGAGGTTTCCGTGCGATTACTTGAGAGTTCCTTATCAGATCGGCTTCAAACTTCAAGTCACTGATTTGATACAGCTCCTTTGAGCGAAACTCATCAATAAATAAATAAAATAATGGTACACATGTGTCGTGTTTAAATTATATCTTTAACACACTAGCCATCTCTTACCTATACGGGGTATATCTTTCTCGGACTGCGAAGTGACCCAAACACATCTACTTAACATTACTCCATTATGACACATTAAACGTAGTCACTACAGCCTGGATGGTCAGGAATTGTTTGTAATAATTTATCAAGTGTTCTGTTGGTCCAGTAATACCCTTCATAACCGAAGGGGAGGGGGGAGGGGGGAGGGGGTGTTAGAAGCCTTGTATCCTTAATCATGGGGAAAAAAACAACGGTTTTCAAAAGCCTTTGATCATTTATGATGGAGGGGAGGTGTGTTGAAAAGCCTTTGATTCTTAATGATGCAAGGAAGGGTTCTGAAAAGTCTTGGATCCTTAATGATGGGAGGGGTGTTGAAAAGCCTTGAACCATTTATGAAAATACTGTCATCTCCTAAGGAATAACTTAGTGCAGTTTCATAAGCAGTTTCTAGGTTTACTTCCTACATGGTTACCCCCAGATCCCTTATATTCCTCGTCTGTTATTTTCAGCGGTTTCAATGTGTTTTGAACTCTCTTTTTTTCCAGTTTTAATTTCTGCAACTTTTCCATAGTGGAGTAGATTAAAACTGACAGTGTTCCGGGTGTGGACAGAGCAACGCTGTGTGGGACTGGTGGGTGCGGGCGAGGGTGATGGGGAACCGGGACATGCTACTCCCAGAGGTGCCCAGGACGCGGCACATGGGCGGGGGTGGTACCCACATCTCTGGCTTCGATCAGCTCCTCTTCTCCTCCCAGCCTCTTAACAACGCCACTAATGTAATGCTCGACGTGGAGAGGTGAGATCCATTTTATATGTATGTACTTCATTTTCTCCTAATCTTTCCCTCGGTCACAATAGTACAAAAAAAAAAAAATCCTTCGTGGTAATGCGTATCATAAGAATTGACAACAGAGATAAGAAAGATTTCTTGGTGCCATTGTTGTAAGTGTAATGAATGAACCACCGACATACAAACCTAAGTGTTGCTACAAGAAGCAGGGAATGGTAGAATTGTTTGAATATATGGAGGGAGAAACTGACTACCTCATCAAGATTCTTGATATCTTGATAAAAAAAAAACATCCTTAAATTCACGGTCTGCAGACAACCCAAAACAAGACCACTTAAAACACTTTTACTTGCACCACAACAAAACCAAACGTGGCGTTCTCGTAAGGTTTCCCTCCAGTCCCCCCAGGATTCTTAATGTCTTCCAAAAATTTCATCATGGGAGGCAGAGAAATGGCACCACAAAACTAAAAATTTTCAACACTACCAGGGAACAGAGCGAATCTAATAAAAGGATTAGACACGATGCTGGAATCTACGCAACTCCTTTATGTGAGACAATACATTTTATGGCCGAAACGGGTCAACAATACATTTAATATATATATATATATATATATATATATATATAATATATATATATATATATATATATATATATATATGGTACAAACACAACACGTCTGGTTCAAAGTGACAAACACGCCTAAGTCATGGCTTGGAATACCAATTTAAAAAAAAAAAGGAAAGAGAAAGACAGATATACAAGAAAATGCATAAAATATTATAGTACAAAATTCCAGCTTATATGGGAACTATGGGGCGTTTAACACCGCATCACCTTATGCAAAAGTATTATCGTGTAGCCAAACTGTTTAGCCTTAACTGGAAGTAACAAAACAATTCTTCTCTTACCTCATCATCCACCCCTCACTCCTCCCCCATCTTCTACGATGGTGTACATACGCTTGTACTTTAGTGTTCCATTTATTACTTAAAAACACTATACTCAAGTGAAATGTCTTCAATAACAGCGTGAACCTGTGTAGGCTTCGCTTAAAGCTTCATTGAGGTGTTAGTTTCCTTACACATCTAGTGAATGCTTCAGTGTTTGTTTACAGGAGAGCCTTTACCCTTGACTCCCTATTTACAGAGCTTTCCAATGACATCACAGTCACCAACAGCCTCTTAAATAAATCCTCACACAAACACCCTATCTTGCTGGCACACCTCTCACCCCTGCTTCTCCTCTCTCTCTCTCTCAGCGCTCATGAAGGTAGTTACGAACTTCACATTCGAGAGGAGATGAGTTCGGCGGTGGTGGTCAGCCTCAAGCAGCATCCATGCGAAGTCACTCCCTTCCCCACCCATCAGGTCAGTGAGTCATCCACCTCAATGATTCTTGCACAATGTCAGAGACTCCACCATGCAACGAATCACACAAACATGTTTACAATATATATATGGATATTCACTCTTTGTCTCTTTTAGAGCTGTTTTATGTAAGGTCAATATCTCCCCCGTTGATGATTATTTTTTACGTGTGTGCGTCTCACCACGTCATGGGGAATATATGCAAAACACACCTAGCACACCCAGACTTTCTTATATAAGACGTTTCAATTAAAACTGAGATTGACCGTCTATTTAGGGCGAAGCGTCAAACAAAATGCTGCCTCTGCTCTGTTTTACATTCCTGGTGTGTGGGGTTCACTTTACCCTGCAGTGACGTAGAGATCATACAGCTCCTGGTGGTGGGTATGGAATGTAATCAAGTTTGATACAAGGAGAGGGAAGTATAAGTCAAGTTTCTTGGATTAAGATCTCCCCCCCCCACCGAGCCTCCTTAGAAAGTCAGTATTTCATCACCTTACGAGGTTTACACAGGCTCAATGTCTGGCAATAATGCTCTGGCCAGGAGCTACCTTCTTTTTCCTTGGATCAAAACTTTATTACCTCCCATTCCCATGCTCTGTATGACCCCCCTACAAGTTTAGGTCTATCCTATGGTAAAATTAGTCAACAATATGATACATGATCTAAGAAATTGCAGCTGATTTCAATTCTTTTGAGCAAGATTCATTCATATTTTCTCTCTTTCTCGTTCCTCCCATCCCTTTTATGCTTTTCCTCCATCTCACCTCATTTCTCTCTATTTAATCAATTTTTCATACTATTCCAACTACTTTTCTTCCCGCTTTTCTCCCTCTTCCTTCCATCCTTTATTTTATTCTCCCTCTCTTCCTATTTTTCTCACTCTCCCTTCCTTTTGTTTTTCCTTCGTTCCTCTATCCTGTTTTTCCTGCCCCTCCTCCGTGTACCGCAGCTCTCACATTAAGTCACAAGCCACTGCCTGACTGCACCTTCTGCCTGTTCCTTCAGACCAACAAGACCTACCTGCTGTACATCTATCAGCCGGACGAGAACAAGCAACATGTATCGTATGAAGTCATCGCTCTGGTGAGTATATACAGCAGCCAATTGCCCATAGTGATGAAGACACTGGTGCTGAGCAAGCATTTACAGTGACCACATTTCGCTCATTGTACCAACAAAGCTCTAGAGTGAAACTTGCCACAATAAAAAGCTTGTTATGCGTCTGTGTATTTTCTTTATTACTGTGGTGAGTGTCAATTAATTTGGTGTGTGTGTTTGTTTGACGTGAATATGTATACGCATGCTGAAAAAACAGAAACCAATACTAACGTGATTCATCTTTGTCGCAATAACCTGGAACCAGTGTCTTGGCATCAACAACCGTGACATCCACGAGAACCTGCGGATGATGATCACTTTCCCATTCTTCGGTAACCAAGTGTACCTCGTGGCCTGCCCCAACTCACCTTACTGGTACTTGTTCCAACCCCTAGGCACCCACACCCAGGCTTACTGCTGCTGCAAATATAATTCTCAGGAATTATAGTTATGTTACTTTTAGTATGATTGATCTTTTTGTAGTTTTTTGTTTACAATGACAAAATGGTACAGCACGAATTAAAATTGAAATTTTAGCTCTCATCCTCATATATTCTTATTCCTTCCTTTCATAGCCGCCCACCCCATCGTTGGATGGTCTACCGAGGTACAAAAGAAGACCTTGCCTTCGCCAAAGAGAACCCCTTCCTCAGCCCTCCCCTCAGGATATACTACGCCATCAGGACCGTCCCGCAGGATCCCCAGCAGGAGTTCTCCTTGCAAAATCGGCAGATTGTGGAATATATCATAAACGGATGAGGAGTCGTCTGTAATGTACAAATGTTCTATACAACCAATTATCAGAAATAAAATATAAAAAGTGTGAGTGTTTTTGTATATCTATCGTACAGAAATGTGCATTTTTTTACTCTCAAAATATTTCTCTGAGCACGTGTATATTGCAAAACTGTATACAACATCGTTGGTCTAACCGTCTGGGATAAGCACTTGATATATCTCTAATTCCAACCTGACTTTGAAGCTACTAATAGCATGCCCACGCAATATGCCCAATGGGAATCTATACTCATCAAAAGTCGCTAAGAAGCAAAATCACTGGCCTTAAATCCACCAGGAGTTTGGACATAGGCGTCATCCCACACACCAATAACACCTACATAGATTCATCCTACAAAGGGGAAAGCAGAGCAAGTGCATAAAACTAGATCGTAAAAACTGAAGTCACACATTACTGAAATCTTTGAGAGCATCCTTAAAAGTAAAATAGTTGAACCCAATCAAAACTCGTACATAACAAAGTACAACATTGGTCTGGAGCGAGACGCTCTTAATTTCGCAACTGTTTCGACATTACATGGCTTTTAACCCACTATATGATAAGTAAAATATAAGTTAGTATAAACAGACAGTGCAAAATACTTCAGAAAGTGTGATTATAAAGTAATAGGAAGTATAACTCTTGCAAAGACTAACTGGATAAGAAGGCAGAGTGTCTCCAAAGTAAAGTCAAAGAGTTTAACTTAGTAGTAAAGGCTGCTAAGTTAAGGTACCTCCCATGAAGGCAAACCCTCCAAGGGAGGTGACTAATTACTAGCAAATGGCTTTTGACTCAAAGTATAGGAGCTACCCCTCCCTTTTCGTGACTCGAATCTGATTGCCTTCCATTTCCTAAGGTGTTGCATGGCCCCCAGGGATTTAGCGCTCCCCTAGGATAGAAATAAAAATCCTCAAGACAGTATCTGCTCCGATTTTAATTCTCATATGTAACAAAGACAAAGCATAACACTATAACATCTTCACAGATAGTATTACAATTTATATTGCGTGATGATAATTCTAGGCCTTTCGTGTTGCAATAACATATCAGGAGCTTGCAGTGTTGCAGAAATAGAATGGGAAATCACGCAGATTCGTTCAGGGAAACGACTCTGGAGACGAATCTGCCTGGATTTCCTACTCTCTTTCTGCAACTTTGCAAGCTCCTGATACGTTGATTGCAACATGAAAGGTCTAGAGCTATCATTCAACTCCCCCTGTAGTTATTTTTGCATCTTTTATCGCTCGTTCCCGATTACTGCATATACTATAATATTCGCCTGAAAAATAGTGGAGGGATTTTCCACAATGAAATTAGTTATTACCGGAACGGAAGGCATATTGAACAATAGAAAGCAAGTGTGAAATAACTACAGTGAGGAAAAATTCAGCAAGTAGAAAGGGATAAAGAATTTTATATAGCTTCCCTTCAAATATTATGGGAATTATGAACAGAGCACTATCTTCAAGGGAGAGTGTGACGAGTTCTTCCAAATAGTTCCTGATCAGCAGAGTTGTGGTGCACACGTCGGACTGAATTCCTTAAGCACAAAGAGCCAAACTGATCAAGAGATAAAGATATATTTTGCTCGGAACAGGAAAAAACTTACGAGGTTCCATATACTTGCTTAAAGTCTTCCAAAAATTTCTCTCTCTGTATCTGCACTAGTCATTATTTATAAAACGATGCTAGAGAATACCTCTTGATTCGAGGAACTGAGACTACTCTCCCCATCTTTGGATCAAACCTGATTATCTCCCTTTTCCCAGGCGCTGTATGGCTCCTTCGGTTTAGCGCTTCCCCTTAAATATAACAATAATTACAACACAAAACCCTCCATAGTATCCCTCCCAGCGACTAACTTTACTCACGAACAGGAAAACTTAAGCAAATGTTTACTATTAATAGAGAGCAGAACGTGTCTTCGGATTTCCTGTCAGTTACTCGCATTAGACACACACACTGATCAGTTTCGCCTGGCGTTGTGTCTAATGATAACCACATGTGTTCCGCCTATATTCACTACGCGCACAGGTCTTGGGTTCGAATTATATATGAACAAAAAATGGCTAAAGCTACCAGTACAGGAAAAACGTAAATGGTATTATCCTTGTCAGCCGCGAACGTGGCGTATGTCAACAATGCAACAAGATAAACAACACCCGGAGGCCCAACTTCCCCAGTCATCCTTCTATTAATTATATTTCTTTGACCATTACGTAAAAAAATTATACATCATATCAGTACATAAAATTAATAAGATCGACTCCCAGAGCGTAACAAAAGGCAAAATAACCTGACTTAAAGATGGAAGTAAGGAATAAAAGGCAAAACTTCCTGCAAGTGCTGTGTAAATAACATTCTTGTAAGCAGGGAAAGAATTTCTCACTAAAAAACTTGCTGTGTTGAGGTCTGGTACCACCAGTCCTGTGTCTTCATAAGGATCAAAGTTGTATATACAGTGTTGCTAATATAAATATACCAGATACGAGTAAATTTTTACCATCATTTAGACTGCTCTGAATAAAAAAATAATGCAACTTTTTACGAATTGGTAAGATTATTCCGTCGAAATGACTTCTTAAGAAAAAGTGATTCATGTGCTTTTACATGAAATTTGAAAAGGGAAAAAATTATATATTTGCATATTCACCGAGTGTGTAGCTGCAGCCTCGAACCGTAATTACATACATGTCGTGCCGAAAAGGTAAAATGAGTTCCTGCTAATTGGCCAGTTTTACGTATATGCCACGACATATATGTGTGTGTGTGTGTGTGTGTGTCGTGCCGAATTGGTAAAATTGGTCAATTAGCAAGAATTCATTTAAAATTAGGTCCTAAAATTTTCTCTTATATGTTTAAAGATATATATTTTTCATTTATGTTAATGTAAAAATAAATAATTTTGTGCCAAAAGAACCTAAGAAAACTTACCTAACCTTATTGTAACAAGCTCAATTTAATTTAACCTAGTCTAACTAAATATATTTTAGATAAGTTTACAATAATTTAATAATAAACAAACAGAATGAAATATACTTTTTAGTTAAGTTCAGAATGATCTTCGCGAAATTACTGCATACATAAATTTTTGCTTGCCTTATTTGGCAAGAAGCGCGTTACTCTTTAAGACAAAATAGCAAGTTTTACCTATTCGGCACCACATATATATAATTACTGCATATATCAGTATCCAATTCAGATGAATACAATGAAGACACGACTTCAGCCACTTGCTATGTCTCTACAGTTATTGTATATCATCCGTTTAACTTGCACAGAGTTCTTGGATACACACAACTAGGCTATAAATGTGAAAGTTAAGACATATTGATATTGTTGGTATTTTATACCTTTCTTGCACAGGTTATAAATGTATAAGTACATGTGCTAAGCTGCTGGCATAATTTGCTTAGGTATTTTTTAGACAATACAAGTTTGAACTACTGTCACCTTGGAAAATAGTTATACCTGAATATTGTTGCAAATCCACTATTAGAAGGCCAAGTTAGAAAAAAAAAAAACGTCAAGGGACTTCACACACCATACCTGAGAAAAATCAGTGATTGCCTGCCCTAAAGTAATGTCGATTACAGACTCCGATGTTACTAACTGCGTCTTCAACATCAGCCTATTATTAGCACACTACTTCTAACAAACCACAAAGCAACATAGTAATGGACCCGAATATAAAGCAGTGAGTGATGGCATTCATTGACATGGCTTACCTTGTGATCTGCCTGACTCTCAATTATACTAAGGGCGGCATAGCTAGCGTAGTAACCAACTTAGACGATCCAAGCCAATCTAAAAAGTTCAGTAATGGTGAATACGCAGCAGTGACAAGACCAGATAACAGTGAAGTAGTTCGGAATCCTGACGGGTCCATAACTGTGGCGATAGACGGTGAAATTAGCATAAACCCAAGGGAAATAAGTAGCAATGTAATTAATGTTGCAGTGAAAGACAGCGACGTTATTTTATCATCAACTCACACCAAAACACATTCAGAGATAAACAAAGGCGCTTCTTTAAGAAATCATAAGGTCACTACAGAGTTTATTTTCCAGAATGAAGAGACCTCTCGGCATTTCTTCCCAAAAAATGAATCTGAAATAGTACACAAAGCTTCGGAAGTCTCTCTTAACGAGGAGAAAGAAAACACTGAGGCTCCCTATCTCGGAGGATATCAAGACCTTACAGAAACTCCCCTTCCTCGAGACCGTGCACTTAATATTTCTCTCTCCGGAGATGATGAATCCGATGGAGTTTTTTTTTCGAGAGGAAATCAAGAAGAAAATATAACTTCAAATGTCGCGGCTGTAAGCGTAGACGACCATATTGTCCTGGATATCACAGTCAACATGACAGGTGTTACTTTAGCAGTAGACGGTCACCAGGTAAGACTCGTCTCTCTCTCTCTTTCTGTACTAGTCCTTCAAGAACAGGGGTGCATTGATACCGGTAAAATCTCTTGAGCCAAGGAATTGGAACGACTCTCCTTTTCCTTAAATCAAACCTGATTACCTTCCATTTTCCTGCACTGTCTGACTCCTACAGATTTAGCGTTTTCCATTAAATTAATAATAATAATAATGTGCTTTACATTTCCCCTTAGTCTTTCAATTTCTTAAACATACTACAGTAATCTATGATTTGAAAATGAGACAATTGTGCAACTTGTTGGTTTTCTAAACCATTTATCACAAAAAGATTCCTTGTCCGGCATCAGTTAACAAGATTTGTATCATACTGTATACAGCTTTTTCTTGGCGCACGAGCGTCACTCTCCGTGACAGGTTTACAGTGCACTCAAGCACATGGTGAGCTGGGGGTGGGGTCCTGTACGCCTTCATGCAGGTCTCCACCTCATCACTCTGCACCAGGTCACAGGTCAGCTCATGACTTCACACTCCCACATGACCTGGCAACCCACCTTTGATGAAGGTTTCCTACAGGTCCTGGCAGACATTCAAGATGGCCGTCTCTTGGTCATCTTAGGAGCAGTAAGTGTCAACCTTAATAATTTTCCAATGACCATTACTCGATCATACGTGTGTAAGGAATTAAAAACCCAAGGTAGATAATTACAAGGTAAATCATCACTTTCACGTTTATGGCAATGTAAAATTCCCAGAGTAAAGCAATAGGGTTAATACTACTCGCCAGTGTGACAAACTCTCAAACCCCATCCCAAAATTGGTCAGATCACTTAACCTTTCTTACCTCTCTCTCTCTCTTCTTGTCTACCCACAACCTTTCTCTTACTGGTTTATCTTACTCCGGTTCTTTCTCTCTCCCATTCTTCTTATCGCTAAAAATAAAAATATGGCCATTCGCAGATTCTTCTTCTCTGCTTTTCAGACAGCAGGAGACATGATCACAAACATATAATATCCAAGCATTCTATCAAAAATAAGCTACTGTGTTCCCCAAACAACATAATTTTTACGACTCTCTAATCTATCCTTACCTCACTTAGGATATTTGTATTTGGGGATCAACTACAGCAAATTACCTAGAACTTATTGTTACCCAGCATAAATCAGCTGTTAGAATAATCGCCCAATCAGGTTCCAGACAACACACACCCATTATTCAAGTCTCAACTTACTGAACGTACAACACATCCACACTTACTACTGTGCAACATAACACAGACAGTACAATATACCACATGTTCCACTCGCCCTATAAAGGAACTCCACGCCAATAAAGGGCCCTAAAACTGGGAACTCCCCGAAAATGTAAAAAAAAGTTTCCCTACAATCATCATCTGCTTCAAAAATGGTCCGATTAAAATCCTGCTTAGACCAATTATGTTTAAGATTGATGTATCAATAACAGCCCTGTTGATCCATATAATATTAGCGTTCACACTGATGTTCACATGATCACCAATCTGTTTCAACTTATATCTTGTACCTCAGTATTCCCAGATACAAATACTGTACCAAATTGTTAAACCAGCTATCGAAATATATATTTCATAAACCAAATTTTCACAGTATTGAAATGTCAAATATGGCCGAGTATAGCATTCTAGTAGTCTAGCTGACTAATAATTATAAGTTACAGTTAAGGCTGCCCGAAATGCTGTGTATATTATTATTATAATCAAAAAGAAGCGCTAAGCCACAAGGACTATACAGCAATGCTGTGTATAACAAGGGGCTTTCTATCAAGTAGTTTATACATATCAATTACTCCAATATCAATTATATATTGTACTCTACTGTATACAAAAATAGTATGTTTGTGTGTTAAGGTAGTACGCTGCCAGACTTGTTAGTGTATTAGGTAGTACGCTGCCAGACGTGTTAGTGTATTAGGTAGTACGCTGCCAGACGTGTTAGTGTATTAGGTAGTACGCTGTCAGACGTGTTAGTGTATTAGGTAGTACGCTCTCAGACGTGTTAGTGTATTAGGTAGTACGCTGCCAGACGTGTTAGTGTATTAGGTAGTACGCTGCCAGACGTGTTAGTGTATTAGGTAGTACGCTGCCAGACGTGTTAGTGTATTAGGTAGTACGCTGCCAGACGTGTTAGTGTATTAGGTAGTACGCTGCCAGACGTGTTAGTGTATTAGGTAGTACGCTGCCAGACGTGTTAGTGTATTAGGTAGTACGCTGCCAGACGTGTTAGTGTATTAGGTAGTACGCTGTCAGACGTGTTAGTGTATTAGGTAGTACGCTGCCAGACGTGTTAGTGTATTAGGTAGTACGCTGTCAGACGTGTTAGTGTATTAGGTAGTACGCTGCCAGACGTGTTAGTGTATTAGGTAGTACGCTGCCAGACGTGTTAGTGTATTAGGTAGTACGCTGCCAGACGTGTTAGTGTATTAGGTAGTACGCTGTCAGACGTGTTAGTGTATTAGGTAGTACGCTGTCAGACGTGTTAGTGTATTAGGTAGTACGCTGCCAGACGTGTTAGTGTATTAGGTAGTACGCTGTCAGACGTGTTAGTGTATTAGGTAGTACGCTGCCAGACGTGTTAGTGTATTAGGTAGTACGCTGTCAGACGTGTTAGTGTATTAGGTAGTACGCTGCCAGACGTGTTAGTGTATTAGGTAGTACGCTGCCAGACGTGTTAGTGTATTAGGTAGTACGCTGTCAGACGTGTTAGTGTATTAGGTAGTACGCTGTCAGACGTGTTAGTGTATTAGGTAGTACGCTGCCAGACGTGTTAGTGTATTAGGTAGTACGCTGTCAGACGTGTTAGTGTATTAGGTAGTACGCTGCCAGACGTGTTAGTGTATTAGGTAGTACGCTGCCAGACGTGTTAGTGTATTAGGTAGTACGCTGTCAGACGTGTTAGTGTATTAGGTAGTACGCTGTCAGACGTGTTAGTGTATTAGGTAGTACGCTGCCAGACGTGTTAGTGTATTAGGTAGTACGCTGTCAGACGTGTTAGTGTATTAGGTAGTACGCTGCCAGACGTGTTAGTGTATTAGGTAGTACGCTGTCAGACGTGTTAGTGTATTAGGTAGTACGCTGCCAGACGTGTTAGTGTATTAGGTAGTACGCTGTCAGACGTGTTAGTGTATTAGGTAGTACGCTGCCAGACGTGTTAGTGTATTAGGTAGTACGCTGTCAGACGTGTTAGTGTATTAGGTAGTACGCTGTCAGACGTGTTAGTGTATTAGGTAGTACGCTGTCAGACGTGTTAGTGTATTAGGTAGTACGCTGCCAGACGTGTTAGTGTATTAGGTAGTACGCTGTCAGACGTGTTAGTGTATTAGGTAGTACGCTGCCAGACGTGTTAGTGTATTAGGTAGTACGCTGTCAGACGTGTTAGTGTATTAGGTAGTACGCTGCCAGACGTGTTAGTGTATTAGGTAGTACGCTGCCAGACGTGTTAGTGTATTAGGTAGTACGCTGCCAGACGTGTTAGTGTATTAGGTAGTACGCTGCCAGACGTGTTAGTGTATTAGGTAGTACGCTGCCAGACGTGTTAGTGTATTAGGTAGTACGCTGCCAGACGTGTTAGTGTATTAGGTAGTACGCTGTCAGACGTGTTAGTGTATTAGGTAGTACGCTGTCAGACGTGTTAGTGTATTAGGTAGTACGCTGCCAGACGTGTTAGTGTATTAGGTAGTACGCTGTCAGACGTGTTAGTGTATTAGGTAGTACGCTGCCAGACGTGTTAGTGTATTAGGTAGTACGCTGCCAGACGTGTTAGTGTATTAGGTAGTACGCTGTCAGACGTGTAAGTGTATTAGGTAGTACGCTGTCAGACGTGTTAGTGTATTAGGTAGTACGCTGCCAGACGTGTTAGTGTATTAGGTAGTACGCTGTCAGACGTGTTAGTGTATTAGGTAGTACGCTGCCAGACGTGTTAGTGTATTAGGTAGTACGCTGTCAGACGTGTTAGTGTATTAGGTAGTACGCTGCCAGACGTGTTAGTGTATTAGGTAGTGCGATGCCAGACGTGTCAATTATTATTTAGGACTCATACATAATTTTAAACTTCCACAACATTTTTATATAGTAAATTATGCATAACTTATCTAGGGTAACTAAACAGATTCAAGTAACATTTTTCGTAATTTGCATGTCTGTGGTTCAATACCCATTTTCTAACAGGTTTACGTAACCTATCCAGTGTAATACAATGAACCGAGTAAAACGGGGACAGGCTGTAATACGAAGAAGTTTCTCTGGCAGTTTTAAAGTAATTCCTTAATGTCAGGACTTCCAAAACTTTCAGGACCATCTATCCCCTTCCAAACTATGACACTGTCCGGACACCCCTCCAACCATCACTTCTGTCTCTCCAGTGTTTAAAACAGCACCACCACCGTTATATTTCAACGTTATGGCATCTTATGAATTTAAATAATAAAAAATAAGAAAAAATACGTAAATAAAAGAAAATACTGTTGATGTGTTGAAGTTTGCCTATCACTGCGATGGATAGACCTGGAGTTCCAGACAAAGATCAGCGGAAGTGGAGGCATTTGAGGAGAGTTTCACTCTTTAGATTTTCCTCAGCATCCATCCTCTGGAATGTAACCTATTAAAAATGATAATGTTTCCAACTAAAGATAAGTCAAATGTTTTGAAGCCTAATAAAATAGAGGATACTAACTCGAATTCCACCATTAGGGGTTCTTGCGCACCCTCAGACCGCACATCCAAGGATGTGCACACCATAATTTAGAAACACTGGTTTATATAATGAACTTAACTACGGTTACTGAACTAGCACAATATAAGTAACAATGCCTGTCCCTTATTGGTAATTAGTTTTAGAAATTTCTGACCAAACATATAATACTGCTTACCTGTGTATCATTATTACTGCAGCACCACACCAAGTTACGCACAGAAACTCTTCAGCTGGCTTCAGATGATATAAAGAGCCTTTTATATGGAAAACATGCTTATGAAAAAGACTTATGAACTATATTTTCCAATTTACAGTAAATAACGTGCAGTAAATAACTTGCAGCCAGATTTCACGTTATTCCTGGGAGAAGAGACAATAAGGGTGCTGGAGGATATGGGCGCACTTTACATCGACAGACTGGCCTACAAGGACGTGTGGTGCCTGCTGGTGCACAAGGGTGGCGGGGTAGTACTTGAGGCCCTTACCACATCTCTCCCACAGCACAACCTTACAAAGTTCGACGTGTCTCCTCTAGCACTACGCGTCTCTGTACCTCGCAAGGAGGGTGAGTACTTGAGCTTCTGTAAAACTTGTTATTTTCTTGGATATGCGGGGGCTGTGAGAAGCACCAAGTGTTTACACCCGCCAGTACGTGCAACTTAAGTTATGACTAACCGAGAACAGATGAACGGAGACTTAAACAGTGATTCCTGGTCTCCTCATTTTCAAATGCCGTTGCTGTGACAAATTCTCTCCATACAGAATCTTCACTATAATGCTCACATGACTGCAATGTTTATAATTGGTTCGATATTCATTTTTCTTATATTAAACAATGTTTAATAACCAAGGGAATTTGTCAGATAATCTAAAACTATGAACAGTGATGAAGTGTAAGAACCTCACTGAAAATGCAAGTCTTAATATTAACACTGCAACACCGAACTTCAAAGTGCTAACTATATCTTTAAGTCTTAGGGTTGTGCTAGGCATCACATAATATTCCTCACAACCCTAAGATTCAGTTCCATAATTACAAAATAACACGAAAATGTGATAATAAGACTCTAAAGAACAAAAAGGCACAATGCCGCGATTAGAACATTACAGAAATAACCCTCACATACGTAGAAGAGAGAAGTTATGACGAAGCTTCAGCCCGACTTGGACCGCCTATATATAGTGGCTCCTTCACTCCCGTATGTCAGTGTGACTTGTAAACGGTCTAAGTCGGACCGGAACGTCGTCATAAACTTCTCTCTCCTATGTGCGGGTTATTTGTGTATGAAGGCTCTAACGTCGGTGGTGCAAGGTCAGTGTGCTGTCCTCACGCCGGTAAGCTCAACAGTTTGAGGCTCCAACATTTCCTTACTTTTCATCCTATTTCATTCATGACACGTGGAAATTTCAGCTTCAATATAAATAAAGTTTCTGCTGGGACTATGGTAATCTAACGGCTACACAAGTTTTCCTTTCTGATTACTCTTCCTTAAGTTTATCATTACATAGCCGGGGTGGCATAATATTTTTGATGGCACTTATAGTTAGGAAACTGAAGAACTGAGCTAAATAATTAATTACGGCTCGAGCTGAGTTAGCAAAATTATTTTACTGAATACACTGATTATATAAGCATACCTCTGGGCCAAACAAAATCAGCACTGTGCCCATAAATTTTCTGTAAACGAATTAAACAAGTAGAGTACGTTTTTTTGTTTCCATAAGGATATGTTAGTACCACTAATCCGTCTTTTATCACACATTCATATATATATATATATATATATATATATATATATATATATATATATATATATATATATATATATATTCAACAAGTCGGCCGTTTCCCACCGAGGCAGGGTGACCCAAAAAAAAAAGAAAGAAAATCTCCAAAAAGAAAATACTTTCATCATCATTCAACACTTTCACCACACTCGCACATTATCACTGTTTTTGCAGAGGTGCTCAGAATACAACAGTCCAGAAGCATACACATATAAAGACACACAACATATCCCTCCAAACTGCCAATATCCCAAACCCCTCCTTTAAAGTGCAGGCATTGTACTTCCCATTTCCAGGACTCAAGTCCGACTATATGAAAATAACCGGTTTCCCTGAATCCCTTCACTAAATATTACCCTGCTCACACTCCAACAGATCGTCAGGTCCCAAGTACCATTCGTCTCCATTCACTCCTATCTAACACGCTCACGCACGCTTGCTGGAAGTCCAAGCCCCTTGCCCACAAAAACCTCCTTTACCCCCTCTCTCCAACCCTTTCGAGGACGACCCCTACCCCGCCTTCCTTCCCCTATAGATTTATATACTTTCCATGTCATTCTACTTTGATCCATTCTCTCTAAATGACCAAACCACCTCAACAACCCCTCTTCTGCCCTCTGACTAATACTTTTATTAACTCCACACCTTCTCCTAATTTCCACACTCCGAATTTTCTGCATAATATTTACACCACACATCTCCACTGCCTCCAACCGTCTCCTCGCTGCTGTATTTACCACCCAAGCTTCACACCCATATAAGAGTGTTGGTACTACTATACTTTCATACATTCCCTTCTTTGCCTCCATAGATAACGTTTTTTGACTCCACATATACCTCAACGCACCACTCACCTTTTTTCCCTCATCAATTCTATGATTAACCTCATCCTTCATAAATCCATCCGCCGACACGTCAACTCCCAAGTATCTGAAAACATTCACTTCTTCCATACTCCTCCTCCCCAATTTGATATCCAATTTTTCTTTATCTAAATCATTGACACCCTCATCACCTTACTCTTTTCTATGTTCACTTTCAACTTTCTACCTTTACACACATTCCCAAACTCATCCACTAACCTTTGCAATTTTTCTTTAGAATCTCCCATAAGCACAGTATCATCAGCAAAAAGTAACTGTGTCAATTCCCATTTTGAATTTGATTCCCAAAATTTAATCCCACCCCTCTCCCGAACACCCTAGCATTTACTTCCTTTACAACCCCATCTATAAATATATTAAACAACCATGGTGACATTACACATCCCTGTCTAAGACCTACTTTTACCGGGAAGTAGTCTCCCTCTCTTCTACACACCCTAACCTGAGCCTCACTATCCTCATAAAAACTCTTTACAACATTTAATAACTTACCACCTATTCCATATACTTGCAACATCTGCCACATTGCTCCTCTATCCACTCTATCATATGCCTTTTCTAAATCCATAAATGCAATACAAACTTCCCTACCTTTATCTAAATACTGTTCACATATATGCTTCAATGTAAACACTTGATCTACACATCCCCTACCCACTCTGAAACCTCCTTGCTCATCCGCAATCCTACATTCTGTCTTACCTCTAATTCTTTCAATTATAACCCTACCGTACACTTTTCCTGGTATACTCAGTAAGCTTATTCCTCTATAATTTTTACAGTCTCTTTGTCCCCTTTCCCTTTATATAAAGGGACTATACATGCTCTCTCGCCAATCCTAGGTACCTTCCCCTCTTTCATACATTTATTAAACAAAAGTACCAACCACTCCAACACTATATCCCCCCCTGCTTTTAACATTTCTGTCATGATCCCATCAGTTCCAGCTGCTTTACCCCCTTTCATTTTACGTAATGCCTCACGTACCTCCCCCACACTTACATTCTGCTCTTCTTCACTCCTAAAAGATGGTATACCTCCCTGACCAGTGCATGAAATTACTGCCTCTGTTTCTTCCTTAACATTTAAAAGTTCCTCAAAATATTCTCGCCATCTACCTAATACCTCCCTCTCCCCATCTACTAACTCCCCTACTCTGTTTTTAACTGACAAATCCATATTTTCCCTAGGCTTTCTTAACTTGTTTAACTCACTCCAAAAATTTTTCTTATTTTCATTAAAATTTCTTGACAGTGCCTCTCCCACTCTCTCTCTCTCTCTCTCTCTCTCATATATATATATATATATATATATATATATATATATATATATATATATATATATATATATAATAAATCGTACCGTGTGAGCGTATAAAGAGAATGTCTTGCGATGGTACACATGTATCTTCAAACATATAAACATATATATATTAATTTAAACACAATATATATGCACAAATACTGTTAAGTACCATCTCCTTATATTTACTGCTTATATTCAAGCGCTCTTTCATCATTAGTAATGAGTATGTGCCAAATAGGGAGCTACCTCAGTTGATTAAGATGTTTCTTCCAGAGCAGCGGTGTGGTTGGTACAGTGCTGCAGGCATGCAAGAGAGGGCCACCTTCTGCGACACTTACGACGGCTACGGTGACTTTTGCACCTGTCATGACCCACCCTGGTCACCTCTTCCACAAAACCCCGTAAGATATTTGTGCCAAATGGCGACTACCAACAATATTTTTTAAGTGAGCTACGAAAGTGCTATAAGTTTCACCGTAAAATGTAACTGTCAAAATGTAATTTTAATGATTTCTTTCATAGAATGAAAAAAATACAGGTTTAAACTAATTGCTTTAAATCGATTATATGTTTTTTTATGTACAGTAATTAATAATCCGCGTAAACAAACGCCTTTAGGAGCTTAGGAAATGCAGAAATGTTTTACTCTAAAAGGAAAGAACAACAAGCTTGTTTGGCTTCCTAATGTTTATGATTTAACATGATAGCTGTGCTGTTTCTTGCATCAGGTGGAGTACAGGATGCAGGAAGTGATTCCTGTTGCCATAGTAACAGCTCGCCGGCTGCCCCACGTCTTGCGTCAGGTAGGGCAGGTGTGGGCCAGCCCCGGCGGTACCAACACACCCATTACCATCTTTGTTGATGGTTACAACCCCGAGGCTCAAGCCCTGGCAGCCCTCCTCCAGGTGCCAGTGATCCATCACCATAATCCTTCACCCAAGGGTAAATGGCCCACATTTTCTCTTCTCAATTTCTTAAAGATAATTGTAAAAAAACTATGAAAGAAAACATTTTATCAGTTGTGAGAATCTCTATGTAGAATTAAATTATCATAACACAAAATACAGTTGCACACTTTTGTGTCTTAGTCTTAAAGATTTACCTTCCTGACACAGGTTCAACAACTCGTATCAACTCCCACATAAAATTTGTCTTAACTCAAGTGTTCCAACATTACCCCAGAGCTGACAAGGCCATTATCCTGGAAGACGACCTCGACTTGTCTCCCGACTTTATCCCGTAAGCGTCTCGCTCTTAAGAATATTAATGGTTAATAATGAAATGTTAGAGCGAGAGATAAAATAAAATAAAGTATTATAAATTTAAACGATTCTTTATCAGACATGGGTGTACGCCGAGACACTGATCTATATTACTGCATAGGTTCTTCCAGCAGACAGCAGCGCTTCTCACCTCAGACTCTCAGCTTTTGTGCGTCAACGCCTACAACCACAACGCCTTTCCCCACACAGCTCACTCACCGTCTCGACTCTACAGAGTTCATGGAGCTCCTGCTTGTGGTTGGATGGTCAGGAGGCAAGTGGCAAGAGAGATGACCAGTAACTGGATCCCTAAACATTTGGTTAGAACATTTATACTAAATCTTTCGTGAAAATGGTCAAACTGAGTTCATGTATGTTTAATACACGATGCCTCTTAATACAAATGTAATTAATTTATGGATTTATCCTGAATATATGATTCACCATTAGATAAACTTAACAAGTAGTGTGCCACTCATCACCACCTGTCACACTTATGGAAGATGGGCGAGCAAAATATCAAATAGATTTAAAAACGTGTGTTACAGGATGTGGACTGGGACCTGTGGGTACGACAGGCAGTGATGGGTGAAAGAGACATACTGGTGCCGGAGATTCCTCGCACCAAGCACCGTGGTGGCGGCGGTGTTCACGTCACTGGCATAGAACAACAGCAGTACTACAACCAACGTCCACTCAATACTCTCCCAAATGTCACATTAGACGTCCACGAGTAAGTAAAACACTTGTCAACGTCATCTTAGTCGTCCACGAGTAAGTAAAACACTTGTCAACGTCATCTTAGATGTCCACGAGTAAGTAAAACACTTGTCAATGTCATCTTAGTCGTCCACGAGTAAGTAAAACACTTGTCAACGTCATCTTAGTCGTCCACGAGTAAGTAAAACACTTGTCAACGTCATCTTAGTCGTCCACGAGTAAGTAAAACACTTGTCAACGTCATCTTAGTCGTCCACGAGTAAGTAAAACACTTGTCAACGTCATCTTAGTCGTCCACGAGTAAGTAAAACACTTGTCAACGTCATCTTAGTCGTCCACGAGTAAGTAAAACACTTGTCAACGTCATCTTAGTTGTCCACGAGTAAGTAAAACACTTGTCAACGTCATCTTAGTCGTCCACGAGTAAGTAAAACATTTGTCAACGTCATCTTAGTCGTCCACGAGTAAGTAAAACATTTGTCAACGTCATCTTAGTCGTCCACGAGTGAGTAAAACACTTGTCAACGTCATCTTAGTTGTCCACGAGTAAGTAAAACACTTGTCAACGTCATCTTAGTGTCCACGAGTAAGTAAAACACTTGTCAAGTCATCTTAGTCGTCCACGAGTAAGTAAAACATTTGTCAACGTCATCTTAGTTGTCCACGAGTAAGTAAAACACTTGTCAACGTCATCTTAGTCGTCCACGAGTGAGTAAAACACTTGTCAACGTCATCTTAGTTGTCCACGAGTAAGTAAAACACTTGTCAACGTCATCTTAGTCGTCCACGAGTAAGTAAAACATTTGTCAACGTCATCTTAGTCGTCCACGAGTAAGTAAAACACTTGTCAACGTCATCTTAGTCGTCCACGAGTAAGTAAAACATTTGTCAACGTCATCTTAGTCGTCCACGAGTAAGTAAACACTTATCAACGTCATCTCAGTCGTCTACGAGTAAGTAAAACCAATCCTCATTATTGTTATGGTCCAAAAGTTATGTTCCATATGTTATGTTCCCCATAGTAATAATAATAATATTAGTAATTTTTGTTTCTACAAGTAAATGATACAACTTACATATACATATAACTATATTCGCACTGCTACTATGTTCCGCATGGTATTTAATTCCAAACGTTACCATGACCCACATAAGTAATATAAACCAAATATTACTATGGCACAGGTTACTATAGTCTGTATGTTGATCTGGTCTATACACCCAACGCAGATGTATGTGATTTTGTTGTGGCTATCCAACAGGGCGGAGCTGGCAAACTACATCAAGTTTCATACCAGTAACATACGGAAGGGTCACGTGGTGCGTTTCAGGACACATCCCTGTGACCACTTGCCTATACCCCAGCACCAGGTCAGTGACATGCCTATACCCCAGCACCAGGTTAGTGACATGTCTATACACCAGCACCAGGTTAGTGACATGTCTATACACCAGCACCAGGTTAGCTACACGTCTATACAGTACCAGAACCATGTTAGTAACATGCCTATATCCCAGCACTATCTCAGTGACATGCTATACCTCAGCATCAGGTACATATTGAATACAGCAAATCGCGGTGGAAACCCCAACACCTAAACTACTGTATATACTGGCGCCTCAACAGTGAGGCGCCAGTATCCAAATGGCATACTGATAATAAAGAAAATACTCACGATGTAAACCAAGCTTTTATTAAAACATCATGTCGCTCCGTACAGGACTTTTTCACGTTTAAATTCAACACAGTGATACAGTGTGGTAATAAAAGCTGGCGTTGTAAAGTGCATTTTTTCCTTGGCACTCTTTTCAGGTTAACCAGAGCTACGTAGTGTATATCAAGCAACAAGACGAGACAACCAACTCTCGTGGGCCTACTATGTCGCCGCCAGGGTGAATTGCTTATTAGTGTCTCTCTCTTTCTCTTCCTCTTTAATGTGCCCTCTCTCGCCTACACCTCATTCCCTACATTTTTTCCACATGTTTAATTAAGTTCCGATTATTATTTCATCAATTTATTTGGTGATATTTGTAGGTGCTCTTCATCTGTGGTAGTGAGACAAGTGCACTGGCTGGTAACATGTCTAACGGAGAATCAAGCCTCCACTTCTTTCGATGAATGACACAAACAAGCTTAGAACAAAGAATTTAGAAACAGGAAATGAGAAATAGGAGTTATAAAGAAAAGAAGTGAACAGATTAAAAGAACCGGAAATACTCTACTTTGAAGACTGGAGATTGGAGATCAAGAAGTCCCAAACTTTTAACTATTAGGCAAGAAGCACTGTAGAAGACATATAAATCATTTCATCACAAGCAAATAAAAAATATAACTTGAAATCTGAGATACACAGCAAACCGAAACCAATGAGAATATGTAAATTTACACGTTAAATTTATAACAGACGACGAGACACCACGAGCATTAGCTTCACTGTTGTAACTACAAATAAGTAATTGTACACACAAATACCAAGAGCTAAAGCTTACCCTTTACGAATTCAAATGGTTAATTCCACACGCACACTACCGGTGAAACTCTAACATCTATTCTCACTCCAACAGTGTCTAGGCCTCGACGACCACATTTCCCGTGAAAACTACCACATGATGTACACAGCTTCCTTCTATGGTAACCAGCTCTACCTCATCGGCTGTCCCAAGTCTCCTTTCTGGTGAGTTCTGAAACGGGAATATGAACATGTGGTACACGCTGGCTACATGAGTGTTTTTTTTGCGTGTGAGTGCGTGGTTGACACTCCTCTCTTGACCTCACCTCTCGAACTATACTGACTGACATTAATGATTCCTGTTCTCTTGGAGAATGAGTCACTTGTGCAACATTTGGGAATCTTTACTGACGAAACGTTTCGCCAGCCAGTGGCTTCTTCAGTCTAATACAGAGAAGAACGATAAAAGATGAAGACAAGAAGCCACTGGCTGGCGAAACCCTCAATAAAATTCCCAAATTTTGCACAAGTATTTCATTCTCCAAACTGTCGATTTTGTAAACCATTACATCACATCTGTTCTCTTGGGCTCTGCCCTTCCTAACGTCGAAGCAGTTCCTTCACTCCCCTACCGTAATAAGACTGATTAAGTTTTTCATAACATCCAAATAGTTCATCTGCGTATTTAGTTTCTATTCTTCCTGGTCCTCGCACTGCAAACTGGCCAATTTCACACTGTCCATTCCTCAAAACATATTATATGTCATAATTAAGTCTCCCCTAGCCCATATCTTCCAAGGTCATTAGTTCAATTCTTAAGTCTTTCCTCATAGCTCACCCTCCTTAACACTTGGCCTCTCACAAGTCTTACATCTTATGTGGCTAGTGACCTTAACACTCGGTCTCTCATCCTTAACACTCTGTCTCTCACAAGTCTTACTTCTCATGTGGCTAATGACATTAACACTTGGTCTCTCGCAAGTCTTACATCTTATGTGGCTAGTGACCTTAACACTTGGTCTCTCACAAGTCTTACATCTTATGTGGCTATGGAGCTACTGTGGATTCGTTTTAGTCTCTGGTGCTTTTATCATTCTCCAATTGTATTTTATTTCCCTTCCTGATTATGTATACCATTTCTTCTTTTACATATCACCCTGCCTTCTACCATATTTCTTGCTGTGTAGTGATCTATGCACTGCCACTCTTCACATTAACCCTTTAACAACCCTGGTTGCACTACACTTTTTAATTGTTTTTCATGTTTCCTCTCCTTATTTTTCTTATTCCTTTTTTCTATAGGTTTCTTGCACTTCACATTAAGGCAAGTCATCCTCTTTTGTGTCGTTTTATCTTTTGTTTCTCTTAATTCACTCCTCTCGGTAATTTATCATCTAATCATAACGTCTTCTTTTATAATCAGGTTTCCTATTATTGCTTCCTTCTCTATATCCCTACATCCACGCAAAATTTGGTACTGCATCATCGTTCACTCCTTATAGTTCTAATCGAATCTCTTATAACTGATTAGTTTAGGAAAGATCAAGCCTAGTCTTCTAGATTCATCACCACGTCTGACATCAGGTTTGTTCTCCACGCTTCCATCTCCCATCACACGTTTCAACTCATTTTTTTTCGATTTTACACTTTTTAAAAATAATACGAAAAGCACATTAGTTTATAATAATGGATCTTAGTCAGAATATTTTACTTTTAATGGTAATCAGGAAATAGGCCGAAAATACGTAAATTATCATAATTTGTGGTTGAACTCTTAAATAATCAACAGTTTTGCTTTCGTCATGTGTGCTCTCTTGCCAACTGCTTCCAAATAAGCAGGATGTATAGCGTGTGTGTGTGTTTTACTACTAGATACACTTTCGCACTTCCCCAGCTTGACGCAGGACCCGGGGGATATCTACAGTGCGACACAGGAGGCCATGACTTACGCCTCCCTCCACCCCTTCAGGAAGGTACCACCCAGCCAACGACGTCTCATATTCAGGGTCACAGTCCTCTCTCTCTGGGACGAGGTCAACCTCAACAACCTCGCCATCTATGAGTGACCACTTCTGAGGAACGAGTAACAGTGAATCTAGTATTATAGAATTAATAAGACAAATATATCTTAATCACTAAGATTCCAAGCACTTTTTATAAAGAATACCTTGAATTAGCTACAATTAGATACTGATAATTTGTAAAGGTGACAATACCGGAATGTTGCAACAACCATGGGCAGAGTTTATATTGCGGAATGTTGCAACAACCATGGGCAGAGTTAATATTGCGGAATGTGCAAACAAGGGCAGAGTTAATATTGCGGAATTGCAAACCATGGGCAGAGTTAATATTGCGGAATGTTGCAACAACCATGGGCAGAGTTAATATTGCGGAATGTTGTAACAACCATGGGCAGAGTTAATATTGCGGAATGTTGCAACAACCATGGGCAGAGTTAATATGCGGATGCTGCAACAACCAATGGCAGAGTTAATATTGCGGAATTTGAACAACCATGGGCAGAGTTAATGTTGCGGAATGTTGTAACAACCATGGGCAGAGTTAATATTGCGGAATGCTGCAACAACAATGGGCAGAGTTAATATTGCGGAATGCTGCAACAACCATGGGCAGAGTTAATATTGCGGAATGTTGCAACAACCATGGGCAGAGTTAATACTGCGGAATGCTGCAACAACCATGGGCAGAGTTAATATTGCGGAATGCTGCAACAACCATGGACAGAGTTAATATCAACAGTGAAAGATGTAATATTTGGGATGACCTCTCAAGAAAGGAGTCTTCATGCTGGCGAAGGGCTCTTGATCCAAAAAAATTGACGTATCCTCCCCTTCCTTCAGTCGAACCAGCTTGCCTCCCATTCCCCAAGCTCTTATGATCCTTGTGTATTTAGCCATCCCCCTTTGAATGTAATAATAATACTACTACTAATAATAATAATTTAGGCAGAAATTTAGACTTTAGAGCAGTAGGTTCGCCCACTAGTATAACCCTGCATAATAAATTCACCCATCATATTAAAATAAAGGTATATAAAATATTTTATATTTCACTGACAATAAAAATGCATGTTTTATGCAAAAAAATATATTGAATTCAGTTTTTCATTTAATCCTTGTCATAACTCTGTAATAAATGTACAGTAAGGCTGGTGTTTCTCTCTCTTCTTTCCTTTTTTCTCTTTCTCTCTCTCCCCCCTCCATGATATAAACTGGAACGATCTCTCTGGGGGCTAGGAAGCCAGCAAAATTGCCAACATGACTGGAAGCAGCTTTCTAAGACAGATTGTCACAAACATGATGGGTAGCAGCATCATAACAAAGGTTATTATACGTTCAACAGGCGGGACTAACATACTGGATCTTGTTCTCACCCTGGATGGTGACCTCATCCACTTATGCGAAATCCTGGCAGCAGATACCATTAGCTTATCCAGTTCAAAACACATACGCCCTTAGGATTCAAAAATAATTTCGCAGTGTTTACTAAGTACAGAGCAGAAAACATTCCAAGGCCACAAAACTGCCCCACATTTTCCATGCTCTGTACGATGACTATGGGATTACCACTTTCTCCTGACCATAATAATAAAAATAATAGTATTAATACTACTAATAATAACATAATAAAATAATAACCTAGGGTCTTCATCTAAAAAACTAACATTATAAATGTTACCAGTCTTAACACATTTAAATATGTACAGAAGCTGAACATTAATAAATCCCTACAGGCTTAACCCTCCTCCATGATATAATAATAACAACGAACCTTAACAAATCAGGCTGGCAGATTAAACTAATTGCTAGTTATAAAAGTATGATGCTACCCAATTGCTTATTCACTAACGGCAATATTTAACAAATACATAAAAGAAGTTATGGTAGTACATAGAAGATCGTTGACTAAAACAAAGGGGCACAGTATAAAAGACTAACTTTATGCTTGGACTAAAGACGATTAGTACTGACAAAAGTGCGTTAGCGGCAACAGCATAAAGAGCAGAGCTTATCATGGATTGCCCCATGACCCAATTCTTTTTACAATTTTCACAAACATATATATAAACAATATCTATCAATGAATAGCAAAACCTATGGAATGCTAAACTTCATAGAAAAAAACTGGGTACAAAACATCAGAAATAATATTAGCTTTCTGTGATGAATTTATTAGACCTCACCTTGAACATACTGCAAATTGCACAGAATACAAAGATAAACTGAAAGAAGTACAACAAAACACTGAGCTTGCAAAATTATTAAGACAAGCCACATGAAGAGACTTAAAGCACTAAACCTTTTCTCTCACAGAAACTGGAAACTATGAAAACTCGCTGAACTTTAGATAGTGAACAGTTTGATGCATTCAACCACAAACAACAATTTGAAGTGAAAAAAGAATCAATAACCTGAAACAATAGAGCGAAACTTCAAGGCTGAAGGTGAAACAAAAGGGCATTTTTTTTTCTTTTGCAAAGTTATATTTTACAAGAATAGATTGCTCACCGAAGGTATAAGTGCAAAACACAATACAGATACGTATGAACCAACTTGATAAGCATGTTGTACATATCGTAGTCAACTAGATATTATTTATGCAAGAACTGGCTGTGATCAACGGAATTCTGATTTAAGCTCAGGAACTACATGAGGACGATCAGTTAACAGTGAGTAGCTCAGGAACTATCTGAGGGCGATCATTTAACACTGAATAGCTCAGGAACTATCTGAGGGCGATCATTTAACAGTGAATAGCTCAGGAACTATCTGAGGGCGATCATTTAACACTGAATAGCTCAGGAACTATCTGAGGGCGATCATTTAACACTGAATAGCTCAGGAACTATCTGAGGGCGATCATTTAACACTGAATAGCTCAGGTACTATCTGAGGGTGATCATTTAACACTGAATAGCTCAGGAACTATCTGAGTGCGATCATTTAACACTGAATAGCTCAGGAACTATCTGAGGGCGATCATTTAACACTGAATAGCTCAGGAACTATCTGAGGGCGATCATTTAACACTGAGTAGCTCGGGAACTATCTGAGGGCGATCATTTAACACTGAGTAGCTCGGGAACTATCTGAGGGCGATCAGTTAACAGTGAGTAGCGCAGGAACTATCTGAGGGCGATCAGTTAACAGTGAGTAGCTCAAGAACTATCTGAGGGCGATCAGTTAACAGTGAGTAGCTCAAGAACTATCTGAGGGTGATCAGTTAACAGCGAGCAGCTCAGGAACTACCTGAGGACGATCAGTTAACGGTGATTAAATCAGGAACTTCCTGAGGATGATCACTGAGGTATCCGGAAGTACACAAGAAGTGGTGAAGGGTAGTAGTAGTAGTGATGGTGAGAGTAGTACAACTGAAATAAAACTCTGCTTCCAAGAATATTAAATGTTCACGCACGTTTTCTTAACGTCTTGGAATTGCTACACTTTTTTTTTCTTTAGTCGACAGTGTGGGAGGAAGGAGGAGGGAGTGAAGGCTGGTGTGAGATACAGACCGTTGTGTCTTCCATGTAAATACTCACTCTCACTCCCCTTGCTCCCTCTCTCCACTTTTTTCTCTTACGCACGTCCACTTACGTACATTCATATATTTAATATTTTAATTAACAAAATTTCCTACCTGGTGCGGCTGGTACACGCTGCTCTTCCTTACCTGAAAAATAAAGTAAGGAAAGCCAGTTAAATACACTAGACCAATGGCCACAAACTCTCTGCCCCTTCTCTCAGGCTCCATAATACTGATGTTGTAGAGTCCACTATAAGGATAATCCTAATATTAAAATTATTACCAAATTTCCGTACTCTGTTGGAAATAAGCTGACGCATGCGTTCCGAAAAGTAAATAAGAAAGCAGTGTAAAACCAAACAATGAGGATACGATTTCTGCGAATAAAGTAACATGAAGCTAATTTGTGTATTACCTGATTGAATTACTACTTATCCTATTGGTATTGCATAATAACGGGAAAGGGGAGAAGAGAGCACTCCAGAGAGCTATAGAAGAAGAAAATCATCTGAACAGACAGCCCAGGAGGTGTAGTGAATAACGTTCGGATTAACCAAAGAGTGAACGGAGATTACGGAATTGAAATGAATAAATGGCCACATATGACAACTTATCCGTTCTACTTGATTCTCATACAATATTGGCTTTATGCTATGTAGTACAGCTTTTAAACTGGCAATAAAGTGAGAGACAGACGAAAGTAGGAATAAGACTAGGGACTAACTGAAACCAGGAAAAAAGAAAAAAAAAAGAAGAAAAAGAAAGAAGAAAAAAAAAGAAAGAGAGAGAGAGAGAGAAGGAGAGAGAGTGAGAAGGAGTTTGTGTGCTGGAAGAGGAAATAAGGAGGAAGTTACTCGTTAAAACCACAAATATTTGAGAAATATCTAGTTAAACAAAAAAATTACAAGTAAATATATATATATAAAATTTATTACCAACAAGTCATCAAAATCCCTTCGGTGGTGATGAGCGCCAAGGTCGAGGAACAGAAGTCATTGTGATGACGAATACGTGGCAACCTCCATGTGACCGTCAACCCAAGGCGCCACACACCTCCAGAGTACTGTACATACTGCCAGACGACGGGACACATCACAAATGATTTGATCCATGTCAGTGGCCGGTGATTATAATTATCAATGCTTTTTATGTGGAGGTCCTGTACGTTAAGTAGATAGCGCGTGTGTCTATGTGAAAGTAGAAATGCAATTCAAGATGAAAAGGAAAACTGAGATTCAAGTGGTGAATGTTAAGCTAATACAATGACTAAAATACGCAAATATCTTTTAAATAAAGAAGTGAATATACTGAGATGAAATACTGTGTATATTGACAGTGACACAATTCCTTGGAAACAAGAAGATAAACTATTACGAAAGAACAACAACCGTTATACATCTTTAGTGGGGGGGGGGTGAGAAAATAATGCTCTCGTTACTATTAACGTAGAAAGTAACATGGATGATTTGCACGGTAAACAACGATGTAGCTATTAATATATATCCAGATACCACGTGAACAGGAATGTGGGATTATTCCTCCTTATCGTTACTTGGAATAACAACTCTTAACCGCTGTTATTTTTCAGGCTTGCGTTCTGATGTACTCTAATCATCGTGACAACCCCGACTCTTACAATTACTGTCATCATCAGCACTGTGGCTACGGTTACAATTTATCGTTGACAGCGCCATAATGCTCCTGGGTAAGAGCACAATGTGGGTGATGAATTTTGCTCTGGTCAACCTAGTGTTCTTGGTAATCCTCGTGATGTTAAGCAACGCCTTTAACATGAATCAAACGGCAAGCATACTAAAGCATAAAACTTTGAATTCAACTGATAACAGTGCAACAACGAATTCAATAATTATAAACACAGATGACAATAGTAAAACGCAAGTAAATAACATCACTACCTTAATACGATAATATATAGTTCAGAAATTCTCATGGATGCGGGTGGTGACCTGGGAAGTGCTACGTTAGGATGATAAGAGCAACACAAGCTCTCAAGCCCTCGACAGACCTCCGGGAAACATACATTACAATTCCACCAGAAATATCAAAAAGCTTAACTTTTCGTGAAAGCTCACTTCATAATCAGAAAGATCTTAATACATCCTTTTTAGGGTTTCCAAATGTATATATTATTTCTCAACCAATAGATACATTAACTCATAACCTACTTACTTCAGGACATTCAAAGAGTTCTGAAGTTTACACTTATGGAAGAGATGTTTTGGATGCAAGAAGTTCCCTGCCTGAAACAGCTTCTTATCTGGTGGCTCACGAAGCCTGGGATCCAATCAAAGACTCGCCAACGCATACAGCATCAGCAAATGGTTCACCACCACCTGGAGACTTCGTTAATTTAACCAGTTCTGTTTCCACGGCTTCAGAAGGTAGCGTTCCAACATTTAGCCCCTATTACTTAGAGAGACAAGGTTCAATAAGTTCAGAGGTTTCTGTTTTACAAGAGGACGCTTCCATAACTCGTACAGTGTCCTCTTCAAAAGTAAGAGCTCTTTTTGTGTCAAATGAACTTCATAAGAAGAAAATAGAGTTAAGAGTGCCTCATGATGGGTCTCTTCCAGAAGCTATAGGTACAAAGGAATCGAAAATTTCTCTTTACGAAGGAGTAACTCATGTGGTTTCCGAAGACCCATGGACAAAAGGCCTTCACAGTCAAGAAAATATTCTCATGGACTCAAGATACACACCTACAGAGGCTTCCTATTTAAAACCGACCAATGGAACGGTTCCTGGAGACGTACAAAGAGAAATAACCATGCCACTTGTTTCTGAAGGATCTTCAGAGTCAAAAGCGTATTTAGTTAAAGGCTTTCTTCCAAATGTAGCGAGTGCAACCGAATTTCTTCCATCCAGCATTAACGCGAATACAGAAGACTTTGTTAGAGCTGCAACTTTGAAAGACCACATACTTATAGACATTACGGTCAACTTAACAGGCGTGTCTTTATACGTCGATGAACACCAGGTAATGATTATCATTATTATTATTATTTTCTCAAAGAGAGCCAAATCACCACCTCTATCGTTCCATGGCGAAATTTAATAGTTATTTCTAATTTTCAATCACATGAATCAACTCAAGGAAGTGTTTCAACATTATATACAAGACATAAGAACTTTCTTTAAATTTCATAAAAATCAACAACCCCATCAAAATACTGTGGTCTTAAAAGTGACCCCTGCCTATGGTAGATTTTTATATATCTTACCGGTTCAAATTTGCTGCGCTATAAGCACACCTGTATGTATGTCTGCTGAAGAGAATCTCAGAAGGGGGGTTGAAATATACAGATCAATCAACCTTCTGTATTTCTGTCTCCATGTGGGTTATTATTGAGCACCGACAAACGTTCATTACACTATAATTCTTCATAACTATAAATGTTTAGTCGCTCAGTAGGTCACAGTGACACCCTAACTGGTGACCTAACCCCTTGATAAATCTCTCTTTAACAGGTATACAGCTGTCTTAACAAGACAATGATATGGGGTAATGACCACGCTCGCCTTCACGCAGGTCTACACCTGATTACATTGCACCAGGTTACAGGTCAGGTCATGGCAGCGTATTCTTACATGACCTGGCAACCCACAAGTGATACTCAGTTCCTTGAAGCTGTTCGTGAAATGCAAGACGGTCGCTTACTGGTTATTGTTGGTGCAGTAAGTACTTGATTACGATATGTAACTATTGATGGTGTAGTAAGCACATGATTCCTATATATAGTAACTATTGTTGGTGAAGTATTCGATTACTGCATGTAACTGCTGTCAGTGCAAGAAGTACTTGATAACTCTATATAACTAACTGCTTTATGTGGTAACTAAATGATTACTACTAATATATGTAGCAACTCACTAATGATGCTACCAGATGAAGCAACTAATAATCACTACTACTTACAGTAACTCCAACGAGGTGACTATATAATCCACTTTTGGTTATAAATCTGTCAACAATGTTACGATGCCGGTAATCAATTGCATACATACTAATCGCTTACCATTCTAAAGATCTTAATATTTTATGGTAATTTTTTTTTAATTCATCGGCCGTCTCCTACTACGGTAAGGTGACAACCAAAAAGAGAAGTAACACTTTCAATGTCATTAATTCAATCACTGTCTTCCCACAAGCGTGCTGACAAGAGTTCATACACTGTCCTGAGGTGTAACATGCTCACCCCTTCTTCAGAGTGCACATACTGTACTTTCCACCTCCAGGACTCAAGTTTGACTAACCGATTTCCCTGAATCACTTCATAAATGTTACCTTGCTCACGCTTTAGTAGCACGTCAAAATCATGATGATCGCCTGATAATTACCCTCACATCCGTTCTTAATTACTTTCACACCTGTTCTTAATCGTTTATTTCGCTTCAGAATATCCCATTAATCTCCGGATTCTTTACTAAATATTAATACCTAGTCATAAATTACAAGTGTAATCAAAAGAGAACTAACTGTATTACAGAGTAATTTTTAAATATTTATGACAGGAGGGCCATGTGAGGAATATATTTAATATATTTAGATAGTTAAATGTATTATAAATATTCTTACTGCTCATTTTATGGAGATATTTTTAAAGATTACTTCCTACTAAATAATATCAGAATACGGAGACTTGTCTAGAACTATTAGAAACAAAAGTACAGAATAACGGCGAAAAATCAATACCTACAGTCAACTGTACGTATGTGTTCCTGACATTGGCCTTAGCACAGGAATTAACCACAAGCTGCTCTCACTACACTGGTCCGCAGGGCCCTAAGTAAATCCGACTGGTTCCTCTCTCATTTGCCTTCCCAGTCCCCGAATCCCTTACGTTTCACAACCAATTTTCTTTCAGCAGGTTTAAATGGTCTGTCAAAACATCTCG